GACTTTAAACTGTGCCTTAAATATAATTAGTATGAAGTATTGTGAATTCTCTGGGCATGAGTCACACTCAATTTGAATAGAAAAACAAAAGGCAAAGTCAAATATGGCATCAGCATATGTGTCAAGTCTTAAGAGCAGAAGGGTAAACTTTATTACGTTGAATCCCACAGGACAAGAAAGTAATACATTTAAGGAATATAATGCTAAAATTTACATTGGAAATCTATATGAGTTTGAGATGGGATGAAATTTAACTTTTCTAATGTGAATAAGCAAGTGAAAAAAGAAGTACTTCGTACTTGGTAAGAGAAAATGAGATGTATCACAGATTTTACTACAGTACTCTTCACCTCAAATCCAGGGTATTTTTTGTTGTTTTATTCAATGTTTTGAGAATTTAGATGGTTTGTTCTGTTAGGGATGATTGAGCCATATGTAATGAGATAGAAGCCAAGCCAAAGGCCAAAAGACCAAGAAACACAGTGTTGAAGGTTGTCTACAACCATAAAAAGTAAAAATCCAAGTATCTCTCGCCTCCTGGTTACTCAGGCTACAGGGTTCTACACAAAGTGCTATTATATAGAATAAGAGGGAAGAGAAATAATTTTCAACTGGGAATAAAGAGGAACTCAGGAAAGAGAGATGGCACCTATTCTGAACCTGGAACAAGTGATACAGGAGAGATTTTCAGGCAAAAGAGAACAGCCTTCAAGAATACAAGAAGACAGAATAATACTGGGAAACATAATAGGTCAATTTGACTAAAACTTGAACTAGGTGAAGAGGAATAGAGTGAAATAAAGCTAAAAATCTAAGTTGGAGTAAGACTGTGCAGGGCTTTAAATCACAAGCAAAGGAGTTTGTATGCAGGGAGAAGTAACTGAAGGTTTCTGATCAGGGGAATAATATCCTATAACACATGTACTATAAGACTATTTTGAAGAACAGATTAGAGAGGGGAAATTCTGGAGGAAAAAAGTCCAGTTAGAGGAATCATCATAATCCTGGGTAGGACTAACTAGGATTGTTTGGCAGTACAAATGGACAGAAAGACAGAGATGTGACAGATCTCTAGAGTAGATGCTATGCAGCTCTTTTTTCAGCAGCAAAGAACTGGAAACTGAGGGGATGCCCATTAATTGGGGAATGGCTAAACAAGTTATAGTATATGATTGTGATGGAATACTATTATGCTATGAGAAAAGATGAGCAGTATGGTTTCAGAAAAACCTGGAAGACTTATATGAACTGATGCAAAATGAAGTAAGTAGACTTAGGAGAACACTGTTCATACTAACACTAATATTATAATGATGATCAAATGCGAAAGACTTAGCTGACCAGATTCAATACAACAATTCATGACAATTAATTCCAAAGGACTCATGATGAAAAGTGCTGTCCACCTACAGAGAAAGATCTGATTAGCTCTGGGTGTAGATTGAAGCATACTGTGTTTTTTTTTAACTTTCTATATGTTTCCTTATTTTTATTGCAATATGGACAACATGGCTATAAAAATAAATAAAATTTTGAAAAGAGTGGCTGTTTACGTTGACTGCCTCTTGTCAAAGAGGTTGCAGATTACAGGTATACAAATCAGACATTATTTTCAGACACAGCTAATGTTCCTATTTTGCTTCACTGTACTGATTTATTACAAGAAATAGCCATCTACAAAGGATAGTTCAGGGCCAAGGAGAGGAAGAAATAATTAAGAAGCGATAGTGATATTTTTAAAAGAACATCAATTTAAAACATGTTAAAAGAGTAGCTGCTACATGAGAGCAAGACAACAGAACCGTAAAAACTTCAGTCACAGCTCAGTTGTCCCAACATTCAAGATGAACAGCTCACACCACTCTCCTTTTGTTACAGAAGATAAAAACTCCACAGATCCTGATCAGCAAAAGCATTTGTCAGAGCACCCACAGCACAGTTACTACGTGTGGAGCTCCCTGACACAAGTGCTGAATGAGGATTCTGACGAGAATATTTCTTAGTCATGTCATTAATCAAATCACCTAACTGCCTAACAGCTATCATGTGCCTGCCTCTCCTATCTACAGATTATCATGAGGATTTATAATTTATGTTAAAACCATTTGTAAAATGCTAAATAAATATTAGGTTAAAATCATAGTATTATTCTCAAGACTTTTCCTTGGAACTGCCCTGAACATTTTCCTCATTTGGTCTGTGGTCTAAGTAGGTAAGAAACTCTGAGGGAACCTCGTACATAAGGTCAGCTATCAACCCTTTTGGGGCATAATCTGCTTTAATATTCTTTTCCTATTTAAAAACAGTCTAATTCATATGTAGTGGCTTTTTGTATTTTCTGAACGGATACTAATAGTACAAATTTTTGAAGCCCATGATTTTTATTAATGTCAGAAAGAGATCTTTCTACGTGAACTGTTTAGTCCACCATCTTAAATTGCATTTAGTGATTTCTCTCCACAAAACCAGTACTCTTTGACACTTTCATTCCAACCACTGAATTTCCCCAGGCTTGAAATTTTGGAGTTATCTTCGTCTCCTCTTTTGCAATCAATATACAATATTCCCAGGATTTTTGACTGAGATGTAACTTGCGGTAATTTTTTTTTAATATGAAGTAGTAAACCAAGAATACTTGATTCTACTTCTTATTGTGTCATTAAATGCATTTGTAACCTTAGAGTTTGAGTTTTAAACCTCACTGATCGAAAGATCTGAACATCTGTGCAACATTTATCAGATATTTCCACAATGATGTCTAAAACCACTGTGCCAATTCACAGTAATCAATTATTTGTACACGTGTCCCCACTGCCAGGTGAACACCAAACTCTTGGATCTCTCACCACCCAAATCTCTCTGGGTCTCATTTTCCTCATCTGTAAAACGGAGGATGCTGGACTAGACGGCCTCTCAAATCCCTTCCACCTTAAACTCTCCTTGTAATAAACAAGCATTGAATACTTTGATCTCATAAACCCTGACCATCATGGAATGTTCATATGGAAAGCAAATTAGAGCTTGAGTCAGGAGACCCACATTTTTCTCTCAGACCCACCACTCACTAACTCTGAGATGCTGAGCAAACCTCTGTGAGCCTTAATTTTACAAATTACAGAATGAGGATGATGTCTCTCTTGATCATTCCACAGGGTAATGGTGAGGATTAAATGAAAATATGTATGTAAAAATGCTTTGCAAACTGTAAAGTACTATGGAAATGTAAGGTATTTATTATGGCATTACTATGCCTCAGTACTATCAATCAACTCTTAATGATACAAAATATTAAGTGTAAGACTTGGCATGGATCTCTACAAAATACGAGAATTAAAAACAAGATACATAATTCAGCCACTTTTTGATTAAAACTTAAATTGTTAAAGTTTATACAACTGTAAATGACAAAAAAGCTTTGTTAAAGATTCTGAAGTAGAAGAAAATATTTACTTATTAAAGTTCTAAATGAACAATGCAGGTGAATAGATTATCTATCTTACTAAAAAACTGACAGGACCTCACAATGCACAGTATTATTTTTAAAACAGTTACATAAGAAACATAAACTTTCTTTTTAAAAAATATAATTGTTTGGGGCAGCTAGGTTGCGCAGTGGATAGAGCACCGACCCTGAAGTCAGGAGGACCTGAGTTCAAATCTGCCCTCAGACCAAACATTTGACCCTTACTGGCTGTGTGACCCTGGGCAAGTCACTTAACCCCAACTCCCTCGCCAAAAATAAATAAATAAATATAATTGTCCTCTGTCACAGGAAAATTAGAGGTCTGTCCTATAGGGCATAGATCCAACATCCATGTTTTTTTTCATGCCTTTCCTTTAATCTTTCCAAAGTGGGAGCTGACCACTGGGACAGCTTAAAGCCAAAGCTGAATAAGAAGATAATAATCTCTTCTTCGTGCCTGCCTTAAAAATTTCAGGTTTATGTGAGCCAAAAGTCGTGCAGAGTTCAACATCCTACACCATCAAATGGAGCACGCTGACCGGAAATCTTTCCACACAGCGAAGAAAGGGATAGTAAGTCTGAGTAGTCACCTCAACAACTGCCATAACATCTAAACGTCAGCAGTTCCCTCCCTCTTTTAAAGTGTTCAGTATCATTTGATCTACCAAAAATAATTAAAATAGGCATTTAATAAATGTTTATTGAATTAAATCAGACAATTAATTGGAATCACCCAAAATCACACCAGTGTTACAAGGTACTAAGCAAAAGTAAATTATTGGGAACCATCCACATCAATTTTTTTTTTCCCTTGGCTAGGCAATGGGGTTAAGTGACTTGCCCAGGATCACACGGCTAGTGTCAAGTGTCTGAGGCCTTTTGAACTCAGGTCCTCCTGACTCAGGGCTGGTGCTCTATCCACGGAACCACCTAGCTAACCCATCACCCACATTAATTTCAATTAGAGAAACAGGAGCTGCATACATTTAGGTGTGTGTTAATCTTTTTCCCCCACTGTGGAACTCTGATTTAACCACCTAAATGTGTTGTTCTTAAATGAAACACACTATTTTTATTATAAAGTTCTAATAAGATTAGAATGCCAAGGATACCACTCTCAACTTACATATATATATTTCTGAATTAAAATGCAATGCCTATATAATATTTTAATTAGCTATTTTCCAAATAAATTTCTTCAAATGGTCAATAAAAGCAGAAAATAATTATAAATTACAGAAATTATAAAACTGAATGTAATAGAAATTTATTCCAATAAAGCTCTTAATAGAAATTTAGAAATATCACACATTATAGTTATATACACTGAAATTAGCTATGTAAAGTAAAAGTGACAGAAAGACAGCCTGTAACAAAAGTATTAATCCTGCTCTTCTCTAACACCATTATCATAAAGAGATTATAAACAGATATATCATTGTACCTACTACCATAATTGAAGGTTCAATCTCCATACAGTGGTTTATTTTTATTATCATTACATAATCAAGCTCTATTAAAGTTAAGAAATACATACAGTTCCAGAGAGAACATCATGAGGACAGCAATTGAGAAGGTGACTCTTGCATACTCTGTCATCGCTGAATTTGATTCGCTGGCGGGTAGTGTCTCCTGTAATATAGGAAAGTAACAACTAAGGTTAGACAACCAGAAAACATTTATTTTCTGATAACCCTACTTTTGCTAGCCTTTTATGTGTATGTACACATATAAACAGGTAAAAACTAACCCTTCATAAGCTGATTTAAATAATGTCCTGTGCCAGAAATCATTTAAGTATGCAAACTATAATGGACAACATGCAGTTCCAATATAAATTAGTGAATATGTAATTCAAAAAGTCAAAGTTGGAAAAGCAATGCATTATAATAAACAGGGTACATGTCATAGAATCAGAATTTAGAGCTGGAAGGGACCTTAGAGATCATTAGTCCAACCTCCTCATTTTGCAGATGAGATAACTGAGGCCCAGAAAGGTTAAATGACTTGCCCAAGGTCATACAGTGAGTGGCAAAGCCACTAGAATAATTTTTGTTTACTGGTGTTAAAGGTCTTCTCAATACTAAACACTGATTTTTAAAATCTTTTACATTAAATTACAAAACATAAGAAAGAATCTGGCAAACATTGCATACACACTGCGAATCCCCACTGAACCCCAGCCGCCATTTCTTCCACTATTTTGTTCCAGTTGCAGTGTCTCCCTTTTGCTGCTGGGGGGATGGGGGTTAGAGAGGGTAGAATAAGGTGTTTAAGAGTGTACAAACCTGGAAGAAGTACTTACACACCAGTCAAACAAAGGTACATTGCCTAAATTCAACATCATTTAAAAAGCCTCCAAAGGCCCCATACCACTGAGTTTATGTACTCCTGTGCTTTACAATGCCAAACGGGAAACATTTAAATTCATTCTGTCTTCTTGTTGACAAGCTGCACTTCCTACAGCAGCAGAATCATCACCTGCTTACCAAATATGGATGTCCAATTGTAAGTTTAATAATCCATCTAAGAATCAGGTGGGCAACTTTAGTTTTAATAATATAAAGTACAGATGGTACATTTACTGATTTAAAGAAACTTATCTCCTTGAAAAAAGAAAAAAAACCATAATGGAATTTTCAGTACTGCATTCCATTTTTGGAAATGAAGTCATTCCTAAAGCATTTTTCTCTGAAGATACAGAGTGATAAACCCTGAGAAAATTATTTAAACCTTAAATTTTAATAATCTGGGTAGTACCACTGATAAGTGAAAACCTACTGGTGAATTACTGAAGCAAGATTTGTTGGTGCCAAACTCAATTTGCCATTCTTCCCATTCTTCTGAAGCTTTTAAAGTATTTTAAAGAAGGTGGATAAATTTTATGATTATTAACCTATCCACTTCATATACAGCTGTACCACTCTAATAACATTCATCCATGAAATGATTCAATGATTCCAATTGTATTTTCATATCTAAATAACAAAATAAGATTCTCTAATTCATTGCCTTGACCCCCATTACATAATCTAAGTTTGAAGGTAACAACTGTTTATTTGAAGGCAACTAAACATTTGTCATTTCAGACGGGCTAGATTTTGTTCAAATTGTTTTTAACTTGGTTAACCAAACTTTTAACAAAATACTTAGGTGCAAACAGTTTACATCAATATCAAGACCAGTAATTCACAGGCTAAAGTGAAGGCTTCAGAGCAGTCCAACAATAGGTTTTCTAGAGGCTAGTCTCTGGTTTGAATGTGTTATTTTTAATACCCACAATTTGGATTAATCCCTTTAGTGTTCACGCCTGCTACTACAATAATGGTTATTTTGGGGGTCCTTTTTTTTTCCTCCTTTTAAACACAACTGGTTTGTTCCACATTCATTAACACATCTGAAAAGTTAGTGATAACTCACGGCTCGGCGATTGCGGGGCCTTTCTGACACTCCCTTGCAGATTGAAGTAGGCAGGCATAGATACATTGAACCTTTATAAATAAAACAAGGGGCCAGATTGTTCAGTTTGTATAGAATAAATAGACTCTGCCAGCAATTTCAACACAGCATCTAGAAGTACATGTTGACTGTAAAGATTGTCGTATATGAAAACAAAAGTGAACAAAATCAAGTTTTTAAAAAGATGTCCTGATTTAAGCACCTAAAGCCCCAGATGAGAATACTGCTGACCAAAGATAGAAATTCCAGGTTGGAGCCCAGAGATTCTTGCTCTTCAGGCAAACTGGGATGAAAAATCATATGCATAATTATTTTACCAGACCCTCCAGTGATATAAAGCCTACAAGCTTAAATTGCAATGGCACTACAATAAATTCATAATAGAATGCCATTCTGTCATGGCATTTTATGGCTGAGCAAAGAAACAAATTAGTATTCCAAATCTACACTCAAGTTAAGATGAGGTATTGGTACTTCAAGGAAGAAAACAACGCTTCCATTATGGATTATCTTTAAGATTGTTCTAGTATTTTAAGAGCAAGTTTCTTTCAGTGCTTTTTGTTAAACCTAAGGTTTTAGGAGTATTTGCAGGCCTGGGTTCATGAATCAAGATTTCTACTAGTTTTACTAACAAGAAAAACACTTAAATATGTTTATCGTTGTGTAAGTAGCATCAACGTTAAATTTAATTTACTTGGACATAACCTTTGGCTTGAAGATCTATAAAATTCCAATTACAAATTAAAGCTATCTTATATCCAAATGAGAATTTAAAAAAAGATCTACTGTCATAAAATATCAAAAAATATTTTAAAGTTAACTTCTTGTCTTGTCTAGCATTATACATACATGGGCTCCCATAAATCCTAACTGCTAAGATAACTGGAGCTAACACTGAATTTAGATATTAACCTCTCTTCTATAAAGATGCAAAAATTATATAAAGCAACAAAATAAAACTTGTAGCAGTATGAGATATAGAGAAAGCTTTAAAACAAGAAACATTAGCTTACTGTTACTTTTTTTAAAAAGTTTTATATTTTACTTATTACAGTACAATTTAGCTACACTGCCAGAAAATGCAGTATTTAAGAATTTATTTATTATGGGTTTATGCACTGAAAGTAGACTTCTGCTGAAACCAAAAAGGTGCTTTAAAAAAAATAAAAAATACTGGTAATAGGTTCAGTTTCAGTCAAACTATCTGGCCCAAACCATGTTTTTCAAAAGAACTAAATGAAATACCCCCCATTTTTTAAAAAAAGAGAAAAAAAAAAGACTACATTTAGAGCCCATTTTTGTGCCCCCAAGGCAATGTTTGAAAATTGTGCCTTCACTGTTACCCCTCTGGAGTGAAGCTTTAAGCCTGAACTCTAACATATATGACTTGTTATAAGAACATAAATACGAGAGTCAAATTGACCAGCATTAAAAAAGTATTAATTTTTTAAAACAATAATTAAGTTTTCCTTTTGACACAACTACTCTACCTAAAACCACTTCTATGCTTATACCTAATTGGATGCTTTCTCTTCTCACTTTACTCCCTTTTCACTTATGCTATGCATATACAGACCACCAAGGGGTCTGTAGTTCCCTAAACTTGGCATTCTATGCCCCCTCACCCCCTGATACTGGCCCCAAGCCAAGAATGTACTCTCTTCTCCCTCTTAGCATCCTTAGCTTCATTCAAAAACCAGCTCAGGTACTACACCTCCTATGGGAAACCTTTTCCACTCTTTCCCTCCTCAAATATTTTCACTTATCTGGATGCACGCTGAATTCATTAAATAGAAAAAAAATCTCTGAGGGTAGAATTGGAACTTTGGAGTACAGATTGCAGTTGTTGTTTCCTGTTGGTTGCAATGGAACCAGGGTCGACAACAACTTTTTTATTAAACATCCTCTATGTAAGGCAGTGTGCTAAGCTCTGGGGATATAGAGGAAACAACAACTGCAATCTAACTTGGAACTTTGGAGTACAGGGAATATCATTTCCATTAACAGGAAGAGACTGAGTTTTCTGGGCAAAAGTCCATAACATCAAATAAGCTAAGTAAAAATATCCTTTTTAATGCTAAAGTTGTATCCAAATTGTCATTTAAAAAGTCAAGTACAAGCTAGGGTCTAGGGCACACAAAGAAGTATAAGGTACAGACTCCATCCACAAATTTACAGGCTAGCTGGGGAAGTCAGACAAATAAAGAAATAAATAAGAATGCAAGGAAGCAGAGACAATAAATTCTAAAAGAATGGTACAGGCAATAGTCACTACAAGATTTATGAGAAATGAGAGATCACCAAAGATTAGGCAGTTCAGGAAAGGCTTCATGGAGGGGACAGGATTTGATTGGTGCTTTGAAAAAAAGGACTAAAAATAGACAAGAAAAGGAAGGCAGGAATGTGAATATATAGAGGGAATAAGTAGATTAGTCTGAAGCAGAGAGTTCATGCAGAAGGGTGGTGGGAAAAGCAGTGGCCAGATAGTGGAGGGCCAATTAAAAATTCCAAAAAGGGGGGGGGCACATATTTATACAATATACAACTACATACTATTTTACATAATATAAACAAACATCTGTTTTGATCCAAAATTTTCCAGCTGTTTAATTGTGTGTAGATATTTCCTGAAGTGAAGCTATTAGAAAACTTAAGGGCAAAGGATAAATTATTCCAGAAAAATAATCCTATGATCCATGCTCCAGAAAACAACTCTCCCATCTGTTGCCATAGGAAAACTGTGGACTGTGCAAACAACACAAAGCTTAGCATGCACACCACTCCAGTACCTGTCAGCTCTTCAAGCAATTCAACAGAACTTGTATTGGTATTCTTGTAATGATAGCACTTGTAGTAGGTAAGACTCCAAAGGGAAGGAAAGTCAAATCCTAACAAGATCCTGAATTTAGGCTCACAGGTTCAGAAATTTAAAGCTAGAAGAGAAGAACTTTGATATACAATTCAACCTCCTCCTCACTTTACAGGGAAAAAAATTAAGTGATTCTATTTATAGTCACATGGATAAGTATATAACATAACCAGAATCTGAACTCTGGGTACTCTGGCTGGAAATTCAGCACAGTTCTACATAATGCTCAGGTTCCTCCAACAAAGGACACCCACATTATAAGTTTTTCTGGGACTGAGGACCCATCAAACTTTCTTGTCCTTTC